TTATTCAAAGTAATGTTGGTAAAAGTTTTTTGACCTTTAATCACCAATAACTTCTGACATTTTTTAGTTACAGCATATTTAGTAAAATTCGAAAAGTTCATATTTAATGCCTGGAGATTTTTAGTCGTCAAGCTCAATATAATTTTTTTACCGGTGACAACGTTACGTTTTGTGTCACGCCTAACAATATCCGTGTTTAAGTCGATTCCATTAAATTTACCATCCCAAATCATATTATCTAAATTAAAGATATAATTAATTTTTTTTAATTCATCTTTTTAAGAAAAATAATGTTCTCTGCCTTACTTATGTACAATTCTTCAAAACGCCACGCAGCATCTACAGTTTGCGTAGTATTTTTCATCAAGGAGTTAGTCAGCAAATTGTTCAAATTCAAGTCTGAAGATTGTAGAATTGAATTATTTTCTGCGTTTATAGAAGGCACTTCAACATTCTTAAACGATGAAGCTATGGTAATATGCTGTGTTTCCGTTTTGCTTAAAAATTTGCATTTCATATCCTCCCACATGTTTAGATTCAATGAATTGTTAGAATGCTGAAAAAATTATTAAATTTCTTATGGTTTATAAATTATTAATATTATTTTTTTATACGTAAGATATCTTTTGTTTTACTAATGTTTTTACCTTTAGGATGATATCTCCTGTCAAAGTAATATTTTTAAAGTATATATTGTTACCATATAAAGTTGTGTCCTGATTTGCCATCCATAAATTTTCAGATAATTGCTTTAGATTCACATCCTTTATATTTTCTATAACTGGCTCCTTCAAAAATCTGGCTGATCCTAAAGTAGAAATATTTACATATTAGGTGTTGGAATTAATTCGTAGCGTTTTACAAGTGATGGGAAGTACTTTCATTAATGTATTTTTTAATGCTCATGTGAAATAAATAACATTCTTTCATTGTAAAACGCTACGAATTAATTCCAACACCTAATACATCATTAAAATCCTATCGTCATAAAATATAATTAGTAAATTCCATCACTGTACCTTCTATAATAAATGTAGATGGTGCATTGCTTGCGACGTAAAAAGTCTGAGGTACGTTTATCGCATCTGTACTTAGAGTAGTAGAAATCTGTTTTGAACCTAAATTGAGATTTGTATCTAAATGCGGAAGTTTTAATGTCGAACGGGAAGCATATATGTTGCTTGACGTAAAACCACGAGCTGCAAAAAAATTTCAAGATATAAATTAAATTTTTTTAATACGCATTAAATTTTTTTATATCAAATTAATGGGAAAATACACGTAAACTTACCGAATGTTACATGTCCTAAAGATATCAGATCATCCACGTTCAGTACATTTTCCATAAAAGATTGTATGTTTATATCGTTGATTTTTCCAATGTCGCTATCTCCTTTTATAATTACGTTCTTTACTCTTCTAGGTAAAGAGAGATTGAAGTAGGCTGGTGTTTCGAGATTGTTAACGACGAGTTTCTTAAGATTTACTGGTCCTTTGATGTGACTTTCACCTGTCCACTCGTTCACTGCAATTTTTAGGTCTACATAATATCGAGTGTAGTTTGAGACTTAAACCAGTTTAAGTTATTTTTACTTTTTAGATTTATTCCCTTAATTTTTGACGCTGATAAGTTCTCTACGAAAACCTGACCCGTGAATAGCTTCGCTGTAAAGTCAATGCTGTGTAAATCTGACACCGAATCGAAAATGGTCGTACTCAAATTTTGAGCTCCAAGAACATGTGAAACATTTAAATTTTTTACAAATATATCGCCCATTTTCATTGAAGAAGTTCTAATTTCCGGAGAGATGACTTCTTTTGCACATAGAGGAATCGTCAATCTGCAAGTATATATTTTTAGAGGATATAGAATACGTGCTTCATAAAACAAAAAAATGTGTGTACTTTGGAATAGGAAGGTTTTGATAGGCAGCGCTCGACAAAATGACACTATTATTCGTGTATTTTGTTCCAGAAATAACAATAGTTTCAGCAGAATTCTTCGTTACGAAATTCGTGGTAACAAAGTCCCACATAGTCACATTGCTCCATTGCTGAAAATGAAAATGTAAAGTAAATTCAAAATTGTCATGCACGCGCACACAAACACAAATTTTTAAATAATTACTGTTTTGTTGCTGGATAATATCAAATGCACCGATACGTTAGAATCTAACGGTATAGTATTCTCTAAGATTTCTTTCATCGACAGCCCATGAGACCTGACGATATCTTTAGCTTTAACGAAGTTGGTGAATGTTACGTTCTGCAGGAAACGGTCACCAGACAATACCAACGGTGTGAAAATCTCTTTCAAAGACTTTAATCTTTCGATTCCTCTGCCTGTTATTTTGCCTGATATTTTGACAAGTCCTGTAAGTCTTATTTTTGTAACAGTTATCGAACCGTGCATTACAGTGGTGGGACCATTTAATGGCAAAAAGAATTCGTTCTCGGTTAGATATAAATCTTTTACTCTCGCCTCTTTCATGTACACTGTTTGCTCAATGCTTCTTGTCGCAATGTCTAAAGGAATCAAAATGTCTGTCGCACGCAAATTGACGAAAACATGATTACCTAAAATTCATATATTAAATTCATATATTAAATATAATATACGAGTAATACAGGATATGTAATAAAGAAATCAGCACAGTGCATTAAATCACCTGTAATTACTTGATCTCCTGAAATTTTCAAAGCTCTCTCTTGCAAGTCTCGCATTAGTATCCCATTAATAGATTTCTTAACGAAAATATCATCTATCTTAAAATTAGGAACGGGGCATCTCCAGTCATGTAGCGTCTTTACTTTCAATTTGGCAAGCTGTAGGACCTCATTGGGTTTGGATTTCACATATTTGGGTTTAATCCCGCCATCTGTAATTATACGATGAATATGACAATTCGTTTTACATTTGATTGTGAGCTTTTTGCCTTGCAAGACTATATGCTTAGATTTTTCAGCATCTTTTGTTCTTTGTGTCAAGAGGTTGTTCGTCAGATTTAATTTAGCATTTATACTCTTGTATCGCTCCGTCAACTGGACCAATTCCTCTGCATTCTGACCGTTAATCTAGCAACAATCAAATACAAAATTATATTAATCGAATTAATATGAAATTTTATTTTTTATTTAAACTGATAGAAATCGAGAGACAGTATCTTACATTTTGCATACGAAGCTGATCGATGTGCGCGTTCGAAATCACGGGACTCTTTAAATCTGGAAGTTTTTTCAAAGTTCTTTGAGACGCCTGTTGTTTGGTTTCGGAACACCAAGTGGCTGTTTCGTCCAGCAAGGATTTCCACGTTTTTTTCACCATCCAAGTAGGATTTAAGTATTTCCATTCTCCGGCCTGATTCTGTATTACGAGCATGTCTTCGTCATATGAGCGAATAGAACGAATTTGTCGAAAGTTCGATAATTTCGTACGCAATCTTAAAAATCTCCAGCCGTTGTATTGATAAATTCCTACGGTATTCTGTTCCACTAAAAATAGGATGACGGTATTTCCCATTGTTAAGGAGAGAATCTGTCTCGTCGGAGCGATTTTTTGAAATGGCACAAAGCGGCCATACATCTCCTTGTACAAGATCGTAGACTCATTACCGGCTAAAACTAGAAAGCGCTCTTCGAAATGACCCTCTTTAAAGTAAAACGAACTGACGTCGTTGGCGTAATGTAATTTTTGTATCTCTACGAATTTGTTAGAACGCACAGAAAACCGGAGTATTTTCGTGAACGATCCTATGACAACAATATGCATGAAACTTTTACTCTGAAAGGGCACGAGTTTCCTTGCTCCATAGAACAATGTATCAATCTTGTCGAAGTTCTCTCCGAGCCAGACAAATATAGATATTTTGGTTTCCGAAGCAATTCCTAAATACAGCTGATTCATTTCGAGCCAGATATGCGTATACATCACTTCGAGAATTTCGATCTCTTGTTTGAAATGCAATTCGTATGTTCCATTTTCGTCCTTACTGAGGCACAGAATGACGATTCCTTCGAAATCTTTCTGCACGACTATAAGCGTACCAGTATTATAATTATGTACAATTATCCGTTTTCCATTGGGCTGCGAATACGTTCTGATAAGTTGCGCTTGATTATTCTAAAAATTATATAGTTTTGCAAAATAGAGTGTTTTTTTTTCTATTATTTTATAAAAAATATAGAATGTAGTTTACGACATACAACCAATTGATAAAGTAATATGTCTGAGGAATTGACGGCAACTGCGAACCAGAGAAATCGATTTTCATCTTGTACGAAAAAAAAGGTCGTGACTTGAAAATCCGGTAAATTGAAGGATAAAGTTTCTTCGAAACTTTGCAGCACGTTTATACCTGTGAATAAAATCAAAACTTGAAATTGCAATCAAACGCATTTGTAAAATTTATTTCTCATCTCAATATTCAAGAATAAAATTAAAAAATAAAATAATTATGGGAAATTTTTTAATGGAGAAATGTTCATTTATATCATTTTTAGAATTTGATACATATGATAATATTAAGATTCTTGTACTTTATTTACTACTTTAGATCTAATTTTGTAGATATATCAGTATCTTTTAATATTGTTATGTATTAAATTTAAATAAATTCTAAAAATGATATTCTATTAATGAGCAGTCCTACATTTAAAACTTCTTGCAATTTCATAAAAATTATCTTTATTTTTAATTTAATATTTTGACACTTTAATTATTTTAAACATCTTTTTCTTCTTAAGAGATATAATTTCAGTCGCAGCAATAAATTAAAAAATTAAATAGATCAGTTTTTATAAACACACACACACACAAAGTTTCAAATTAATTAAATGAAGAAATATAACGATAAAAACATAAACATAAAAAGTACGCAAGGCAACATATTCCGAAATGCAGCCGCGCAATAGAACTTTCTACATGATAATGCCAACATCAGCTGATCTCTCGATAACCTCAACGTCTGAACACAATATTTCATGTTATCATCTCGGTTCGGTTGACCCGACCGTCGTCAAAAATCGAGCATAGCGAAGTGCGAATTGATTCGACGTCCTATCATATGTATCATCGTTTGAGACATGTCTACTCCGGAAGAGATGATAGAGAATTTGACAGCACAAGTGAACGAACTGCAAGCATTACAGTCCGTTTACCCAACCGAGCTAGCTGTGACGGACCATGGGGTTTTGGCTGACATTAATGAATACATCGAGTGTTCCGACCGTGAATCACCACGGTGGCTGGAGTATGCCATCGCAGTCCCATTGAACGGTGTAATAAATATTTACTTACGACGTAATGTTGCCAGATCTACATAAAATTGTATTATGAAGTTAGCACGCCATTCTACTAATATAAAAATTACAATAATTTCAGTCTCACTTTTCATAATTTTTCAATCTTTTAGCAAAATAAAAAAGTTCATTTTTTATACTAAAAAATCAAAATTGAAAATATGGTTAATTTCACTAATCTACGACATTTAGTTTTGACACCTTTTTCCCTCCTAAAATACAAGAAAAAAAATATTTTTACTTTTGGCTACAGTTCCCGTTAATACTGCTCAAGTTGTACAGTCTCAAGTTATACATATCTAGTAAAACATAATTATTGAAAAGTAAAAAAATTTCTGAATCTTTTATATAAGAAATATAATATTAATAAAAAAATAAGAAGTCAATAATGACCACTGAATACTTCTAATATTAACTACTTACTACTAAGCAGTAACTTGCTCTAAGTTTTACTTTTACTTATGTCAGTATCATTAATATGTTGGTTTTATCACTCTAGGAATGTATTGAACTACTGGTAAGCTTGCCAACTAACTACCCGAAGGAGCAGCCTGAAGTATATGCGAGAGGCTCTTGTTTGGACAGAACGCAGCAGTGTCTGCTGAACAAGGATCTCTCTGTCGTTGTCAAGGCCCAGGAGGCGAATGAGCCTTGCATCTATACGCTGATATCGTGGCTGCAGGACAATGTTGAGACTTATCTCAAAGCTTCCGTATGTAACCAGGCGATTAAACGCAGCGATGCAAATACAAGCGGCACGGAAGATCGGACCGCAGTAGTTTTCTCCAGATATTGGATCTACAGCCATCATATATACAGCAAGATCAAACGGCGGGACGTGGCTAATTTAGCAAAAGAGAGTTCCATCACAGGATTCTGCTTGGCCGGTAAACCGGGAATAATTTGTATGGAGGGAACTCTGGAAGATTGCGACTATTGCTGGCAGAAAGTAATGTCAATAATGATCTTTCAATATCCTAATGTTTAATATAATGAGAATATTTCACGCTACTATAATTTTTTTTACAGATTAAAGTTATGAATTGGCATAAGATATTGATAAAATTAATGGAAAAAGAGGAAGATTGTAATAATGTGGATAACATGCGCAAGTTTACGGAGTTTCAAGAAGTTTCGTTTCCTACTACTGAGCGTCACAATGACATGGGTCAGTTTCTCAAGTATCTAACTGATCATGATTGCCAGCATGTGTTCAAGGAGCTTTTCGGAATAGAAGGAAAATTTAGTAAACTTCCAGATTGATATAATTGTATAAAAATGTACTTTGACTAATTTTTTTCAATCAATTTTAGAAGATTTTTGCACAAGTGAAAAATCTTTTGCTCACCTTTACTGGGCTCATTTTCATGGCTTCTTTTTTGTCGCTTGTTTCTCTGAAGTTCTTTGGTCGTATCGTTCATATATTTCGCAATTTCATTGTTAATATTATTTCTAGTATCACTATTTAATATATTGTATGCTAAAAATGCCGAATTTTTCATTTTTAAATAAAAGTAGTAATTTTTATATTCAAGTACTAAGCAATTAATATTTTACCATCACTGAGATTTTTGAAGTATTCTGTCGTTCGATTAAGTATCGCGTACAAGTTTTCTGTTGAATAAGAGGGAGAATATTCGCATTGTATCGCACATATTAACGTGAAACTCAAAAGGAACTCTCGCAACATATTCACACAAAGTAGTCTCTCAAACTATTGATCACGACTGATCCACAATGCCAGTTTGCCATCCAATAATATCGTGTTTACAGTTTTTCTGCACATAGTTCTTACCTTTCCGAATTCCACTCTCTAACAGGTGTGTACACACACGCACACCAATATAAATCTCTCTATACGATACATATATAAGGAATCTCAGAATTTTTTATTTACAAATTCTTTGATAAAAAATAGAAGATAAATTTATTCCTAACAAATAAATAATAAAACAATTGAATAAAATAAGAGATTGAAAATAAAAGAATATGTTGAATATGTGAAGATGAATATAAATATGTTGAATTGAATGTTGATAATAATAAAATTTTATTTTATATATATATATATATGTCTGTATATGTTAAAGTAATTTAATTTACAAATTTTATCTAATAGTGGCGTAGCGTAAAAATTCATTGGTGAGAAATTGTCCCGGGATGTAAGGCGCAGGTGGGCCAAGAATATCTTGTGCAGGACTGTGGATCTTAATTTGTCTCATATGAGTATCCCTGCCATTCTGATGATTGCTGATGACTGCTATTTGAATCATGAATGTCCTAATAGGCCGATCATTGATGTTTTTAATGGGGATCACTATCCAACCACTTGGTTCGTTCAAGTCCATCACTTCCACCTCCTGTAGATCGTTGAAATTGGTCCCAGCTCTGATGCTTATCCTGAAAGTTAGCCAAAACATCTTTACTAATAGTCGCCAATGATTGTTGAATGCTTTCTATTTAGGCCTAGTTCCACCAATGTAAAATTAACTTTAATCTTGATTCAATTTATTTTTTATCTTTTTCTAATATTATAATTAGATTAGTGGAATTGGGCCTTAGTGAAACCAGTTGATATTCTATCTTTGTATTCAATGAATAACAAAGATAGGGAGATACTTGTATCAACTTGTATCATCAAATGGAAAGAATTTGAACAATATTTCTAAGCAATAAAAAGTATTGCTACCTGTTGGGAGTATAGCTCTCATCCAGCTTATAATCTGTATAGATGCATATGTCACGAATAGTTGTTTTCCTTTTAAATTGTATATTTACTAAGTGAGGCAGTTGTCCATCCGATTGCCAGTACGTTTCCGTGATGTCATCACGAAGCTGGTCTACACCAAATCCTGGCTTACAGCTGGACAAGCTCCAGATAGCATAATTCCCGACTTCCCGTACTCGACCAGTTAGTTGCTCCTGTACGGGATCTATCTCCCCTGAGCGAGTATCTTTTATATGTAAGACGTCCCAATGTAATTTTATACTTGAAAACTGATTGGATCAATCGCGAGATATTTGCGATAAGAAAATATAAAAGAAATTGCAGTGTACTCACCAGTACTTGTAGTCTTGTTGCTCATGATTAGTTAGGTTAGACTTCTTCAAACCGTTATTCTAATGATTTTAGCGTAACAACTTCGTTATCTAACGTAGCTAATACTCGCTAGAATATCATACGAAATAACAGTAAGTCATGCGATTTCCAGTACATTACGATAATTATTTCTAATGCCTAGCGAAAGTTTTAACCCTATTCCGTACATTTTAAAAATCAGTTTGCTTGCTCTCTCTCTCTCTCTCTGTCTGTCTTGATATGATATCGAGATATCGATACTTCTCGATACTTCAAGCTTCAAGTTCAAATTTAAATCTTGATTCGATTTCGAACCCACAATTGCACATGCATGAAATTAATAATTATTCAAATTCATCGATTTAGACCCATGAGATAAGAATTTATCGCCGAAAAATATCTCATCTTTATCGATAGATTTCATCGCGACGAATAATTTTGAGAGACGGTTTTGTTGGGACAGGAATATTTCAAATTCCAAATCCAAATAAATTCAAAATTTGATTTTGAGATAAAAATTCATCGAGAAATATTGCGTCTTTATTGATAGACATTTTAATTCTTATCGCGATTTAAAAAAAAACCGGTTTGTTATGCTATACGTTGCCATGGTTGAATTGATCGTGATGTATTGTTTTACCGCCGCTTCAGTCTGTCATCGCTACTTTGCGCTGAAACTAGTGGATGTCGCACAAGTTGATACACTAAAATAATTGATATTTTAAGGTGATTCGGTAAACAATATTTGAGTCAAGTTAATTTGATCAGTGAGTTTTAAAATCGATCGATTAATCCGCGATGACATTGGCATTGTCGAGGATAGATTATACGACAGTGGGGGTCACCTCACGTGGCACAACCATCATATTTCCGCCTTATGACGGGACGACGAAGCAACCACAAAAGTTCGCTGTTGCAGATCATGACGGCGTACTGCATATTTATGGTATAAATATGCATGTCTTATTGCAATACAAAAATAACTTAACAAATAAATAGTAATAAATAAGTAATTAATTAATATTATTTAATACTAATTCTTAATTCATATTTATAATTAATAACTAAATAATATTATTCTAATAAGACAATATTGCAATTAATGTCAAGAAATACTTTAATATCGTAATTATCTTCAAAAGATGTTTTGATATTAATGTATCAATTGGAACCAATATTAAATGACATCTAAATTTAAGAAATATATAAAATCATCCTTGAATAGGCATGAAAAAGGGGGAGTTGCAATTGTCATTTAAATCCTTGCCCGGCCCAAAAATTCAGAAGATGGTTCTTGGTGGCTCAATAGGTATGTTGAGGGATAAAATTTTCCTTGCGTACGGCAGCTCCGTGAAAGGATTCACGAGAAAAGGCAAGCTGTTTTTAGAGTTCGATACCAGCCTTATAGATCCGATTTCTGCGATGTAAGTTCACTTACACTCAGCTCAATTCCACGATGATACCTTCGATATACTCCATAATCCCGTTATCATATTATTATGAAATGTTCTTCATAGGTACGTCCTCGGTCCTGATCTTGCGGCGTGCGCGCGTGATCTTTATCATCGGTACAGAGACTGCAAAGATGCCGATTCGTACCTGACTGGAGAGACCTTGCATGATGTAGTGCTCTTGCCTGGAGATGGCAACGTAGTATACGCTATTCTAGCCTGTGCGGACTGCGCGGTAAGACGTCGTAATTTCATTGAATATAATTCGAGGATCCGTCCCAAAAGTCTTTCAGACTCCAATCGAGAAATGCAATAATCTTAGTAAAAAAAAAACTGTCGATTACTTTATTTCATTTCTTAAAAGTTACCATTAATACTTTTGCGATTTTATCTAGAATATCCTTTCATTCTTGTAAAGTTTTTGCGATGGATTTAAATTTTAATTTTCTTCTTAGTAAAAACTTACAGAAAGATTCGAATATAGAGTAATTATTTTCTAGGAATGCATCCTATAACTAATTCATCGATGCAGTTCTACTTTCTAGGTACGTGTTTTGCACGGTACAAGAAGTCCAACGGTTTTAAGATTGCCGAGCGCTCCTACGGTGCTTTCCATATACAGGTATTATTGATATTTCACATACAACACACACACACACACACACACACACACATTTCAAATGAATTATTTTATATTACTTATCTCGTTTCAGAGAGGGAGAAATATACTCAAGGGACCGCATTTTGGTCGGTACCGCGGATGGTAGAGTCGGACTGTTGATCCTCCAAGGCAACAAAACTCTCCGAATTACCTGGCTGTTGACTTCGACAGGCTCGGGAATCACTTCGTTGGATACATACGAGTTGCAAGATGGTATAGACATCCTTGTTGGTCGGCAGGATGGAGTCGTCGAGGTGTACACGTTTCCTGACGAAGATGTATCGTCTATTCTGCGCTATCACTATGTGAGTGATTGTGATCGTATCTATAGTTCTCGTCGAATTGGATATTAGTTAAAAAATAAATCATTGTAGAATGCTGGCGAGAGTATCAGTACAGTCGTCGGTGGGATAATCGGCGTCACCAATTATCCTGAGGTTCTCGTCACGACTTACTCAGGACGAGTATTCGGATTGACTACCAGTCCTCCTGGTTTACTAGAAGCGGGACAAAGCGATATCGGATTGGCCAGATTGAAGCTGGAAATACATCAACTGCAAGAGAAACTCAATGAGGAGAAAGATTCGGCCAATTTCGTATCGGACCCTTTAGCACCCTTGATATTAGCAGTGAATCATAAGTAACCGCAACAAAATTATTTCTACTTACTTATAAATACAAAACAGATTAATCGGGATAAACTGAAATTGCAATAAAAATCAATTCACAGGATGGACTTACACAAAGAAGATGCTTCGTATTCCCTATCAGTAGAATTAGACGCGTCGATTGACAATATTCTAATACAATCCGATACGCCCATCGACCTGCTGGAGACAGAGAACAATAGCGCAGTGGTTAGCTTATCCGCTTGCAATCCTACAGAGGGCAATTTCCTCCTTGCTACTTATCGATGCCAAGTAAATGCAACATTCTGTGTGTGTAAAATAATATAATCTCTTTGAATTTTAATATTTCTGAAAGTATGAAAAATCATTTGTAAATAGATTAATACAAATCGTCTAGAAATGCGACTAAGATCCATCGAGGGTCAACCAGGTACCTTGCAGATTTATGTAACGTCCCAGGTATTTTTTTACACGGTGTCTTTCAAATCTAAGATTCACGTTATTAATATCTATGGTAATTCTCAGGTACAACCGAAACGTTG